CCAGGAAAACATCCGGGAGAAAAAAATGCTCGCGCTCGCTCTCTCTCTCTCTCTCTCTCTCTCTCTCTCTCTCTCTCTCTCTCTCTCTCTCTCTCAGGTGTTTCCATGGAGGTGGAGATGCTCTTGTCTGTGAGATCCAAGATGGCAGCTGCCAGCAACCCGAGAGTACTGAGCTTTGGAGACTGAGTTGGAATATCTGAGGAAATGATCTCTTAAATGAAATCTCTAAAATTAAATTTAGAGAGAAAGCATGTGACTGACGGTTGCCGGGTGGATCGGCACTGAGCATCTAGGGATTGAATGTCAGCACCAGGCTGTTTGGGTGTGTGTGCTTAGTAACTGAAAGCACTGTGCGATGTGGGGTCCTAAGGGGTCCTAAGTTTTCATGCTTTTTTTTGTTTTCTTTTTCTTTCTTTTTTTTTTTTTTCTAGACAAGGCTTTGTGTAGCCCAGGCTGGCCTTGAACTCCTGATTCTCCTGCCTCTATCTCCCAAGTGCTGGGGTTACAGGTATGTGCCACTGCGACCAGCTTTCACTACACTTTTCAAGTATTATCTCATTTAACATATATGGCAAACCCCCCCCTCCCCCCGCCTGAGTGCTGCCGCTGTGGCCATTCCCAGTCCACAGATGGAAAAAGAGAGGCTCTAGATATGCTAGGAACCCTCCCAAGTCGGCTCAATGAGGAAGAGCAGAGATAGGGGAGGAACCCCAAGAGAATGGGGTGCCAGGTGGGCTGGTACACCCCTTTAATCCAAGCATCTTGGAGTTTGAGTCCAGCCTCATCTACATAGAGAGTTCCAGGACAGCCAGGGCTATGTAGTGAGACTCTTTCTGAAAAAGGAGAGAGAGTAAGAGAAAGAAACGAACAAGAGCCTAAGTCCCTGTTGAGAGAGGATGAGACTGCCCATCCGGAGAGTACATGTCTGTTAAAAGGGCTGCGATACCCTTGAAATACATGGGTATTCTGTATCCCCCATACTGATTGTTTACTTATGCAGTGAATCGAAATGCTTAGCAAGATGACTGGCATGCAGTAAGCACTCAATAAATGCCATTTCACAATATTAAAAATTATTCATTCAAAAGAGATAAGAAAAAATATGTATAGGAGCTAGGTATGGTAGTACAATGCCTGGAATTCCAGCACTGGGGAAGCTGAGGAGGGAGAATCATGTAATTAAGACTATCTTGGACTAGTGACATCTTGTCTTAAAAGATCAAGGACTGAAATGTAAACTCAGTGGTAGAGCCCCTGCCTAGAATCCCCCAGTGAGGGGCTGGGGTGTGGCTCAGTGGTAGAGCACCTGCCTAGAATCCCCCAGTGAGAGGCTGGGGTGTGGCTCAGTGGTAGAGCACCTGCCTAGAATTCCCCAGTGAGAGGCTGGGGGTGTGGCTCAGTGGTAGAGCCCCTGCCTAGAATCCCCCAGTGAGTGGCTGGGGGTGTGGCTCAGTGGTAGAGCCCCTGCCTAGAATCCCC